TTCCTTCCTTCCTTCCTTCCTTCCTTCCTTCCTTCCTTCCTTCCTTCCTTCCTTCCTTCCTTCCTTCCTTCCTTCCTTCCTTCTAGATATGAATACCGTGTTGAGATGGTCCACCAGTCCACTAATGATCCTGCAAAAAACATCATTAGAGAATTTGCATCTGATTTTGAAGTTGGGGAATGCTGGGGCTACAACAGGTTTTTCCGACTGGATTTGCTTGCAAATGAAGGCTACTTAAACAGGCAGAATGACACTGTCATATTACGGTAAGAAAGATTATGAAAGGTGGGTGGGCTTCATGGCATAGGATAGGAAACTTCTTTATGCTACGTTGAAGTGCTCTTGGTCTTAAATGTTTTTTGGTGAAAATACATTGTGTGGGGTTCAAAAATAACAAGAGGGGATCTTTTCATTGGTAGTCCCCCTTCTCTGGAATATCTTCCCTAAGCGTGGGTGTTTGAGGCAGACTTTACTATATTTTCTGTGCCAGGTAAATACATTTTTTCTCCTAGGCATTTTAATCTTTTTCTTTTATTGCTCCTTTTACTGTTTCAGTGTTACACATTTTAATTATAGTGTTTTAATGTATATTTTGATTGTTTTAGAACTTTGGGCACTTTTAGTTTGTTATACGCCATGCTGGGAAAACCTGGTTTTGAAGAGTGACATATAAATGTTACAATAAATACAAATGACTAATTGTATGTCTTTTTAATTGGTGGACTCTAAACAGAAGTAGATATTGCCTAAATCTCTAACAGATTCCTTATTGGAACTATTGTAGCTTAATGAATAAAAGCTAGCATTTATTGTTAAAAGGAAATACAATTTTCTCAGTCACACTTCAGAGTCAAATAAACAGGCATCAATAAACAAAAGGTGACATTTTAAGTAACTGAATGCAATTTAAAGCCCTAGTTCCTTGGAGTAAGTGAGATAGTATAGGATAACACAACCCTGCTCTCCTAATAACACAGTCCTGTTTGGACTGTGTAACGTACAGGAGGAGCTCAGGGAGGATCCAACTGCTCAAATGACTTGCATTTCCTTGGGGAAGCTTAATGACGCTTTGACATGCTGCTTCTCCTAAAGGTTCCAGGTGCGTTCACCTACTTTCTTCCAGAAATGTCGGGATCAACATTGGTACATTTCTCAGCTGGAAGCTGCTCAAACAAGCTACGTCCAACAAATAAATAATCTGAAAGAGGTAAGCCAGCACTTTTGCACATAGTTACACTGCCATTGGCCACAGAGATAGCTATAACCATGCTTGTTTTCCTTTTCTACGTTGTATTGGCTTCCCAAGATCTTCATAACTGACATGTGTTCCTTTATTCTAATTCACACAGGAAGTATATGTAAAAAGGTTCAAGCAAAGGTACATCAAAAACTGATTCATCTTGCTTAGTATTATCAACACAGCCTTCCCACTCTGGTGCTTCCTATATGTGTTGGATTATAATTCCCCAGCCAATATGGACACTGTTTGGACTTGTATTTCATTATATTTAGAAGGTACCAGGTTGGTAATGGTTGGCATAGACTAGGTGACAGGGTGCGACAAAGTATTTTGGAACAGGCCTGACTCTGCTTTTGGTACCTCCTTAATTCAGACGTGTATTTTTTTGGAATTGCAGGCTACCAGGTGAGCCCAGGAAAAAGTACAGCTTCTTTAAGGAGGAACCAGCAGAATTGGTGTATGTGCCTCATCTGCTCTGAAGCAACTTTTTTAGCTTCAGATCTGAAGCACTACACATACCTGCAATATAATTGTGGAAATTCTGGTGATAGCCAGTAGATCTTCCAGTTTAAAGATTCTGTTTTGTAAATTGGGTTAGCTGTTGGAAAGACATCACTCATCCAGAACCTGAATCTGGGTGACAGTACCAGTCTGTTGTGTATTGTGGAGACCTGGTTGAGGAAAGAGTTTGTGTCACCTGCTTCTTCTAGTGCATCTAGTCTCTTCTGCAGTAGAGGAGACAGAGCTGGAGGATGGAAAGGTGTGGTGGCACCAACTCCATCTCACTCAGCCAGTGTTTCATCTTGCAGGCTCCTTTCTTTAGTGCATGATGCTGTAGGTTGGTGACTTGGATAGTCTGGAGGGGTTTGTTGGTCCATTGTTTATGCCCTCATTTCATGTTCTCATTTCCTTAATGAGCTGACATTAGGTCCTCTTTGGCTTCTTTTGGGGGGCACTCAGTAATTACCCAGGGATTGCTCAAATCACAATTTCATGCCTCTGAGGGATTTTTCCACTTACCAGTCTACCCTATTTACTTATTTTTTATGTTTGGATAGCTAGTTATGAACAGATGACATAAGATTATCTCATCTTTCAAATGCAGATATGTATTTTTACTTATACATTTTAAGATAATTTTAGTTAGATTAATGTATGATTCCATATTCCTAAACAATATCATAATTTACCTGAATCATCTTTGCACTTAAATTCTGTATATAACTGTCACTTGTCAGGTATGTGCTACTGAGACACATTCTAAATGTATGAATCTTATATGTTCAGAATTTCCTCTGGTTCTCCCTTGATTTCCCAGCATTCTTGGCAAAGTTGCTTTTACCTCTTTGTGGTTTCCCATTATTAAATCAATCCTTTTCACTATTTTTACATAGTTAATCACATTAAAAATTTACGAAAAATACCTTAATAGGTATCATCGTTACAGAGTTGTTGGGCCAGTGTTGTTCCGAAACTAGAACACATTAATTTGGATTGGTCCTGCTCTTGCTGTTTTCAGAAGGGACATCAACATAACTTTTCAATATCGTGTGTTTTGTTTGCTTGTTTAAAAAACGAAGAGGCTTGCGATTGAACTTTCCCGGACCCAGAAATCCCATGGCGTCTCCCCTCCAGATACTCACCTTAGCCCACAAAGTGATGATGGTCTGGAAACAAGACCAAAAAAATCAGGACCAAACTCGGAAGTGCTTCTTGAGGCTGTGGCCAGCACAGCACCACCCAGAGACACAAAAGAAGAAGAGGAGGAAAAAGTACAGTATGAAGACTTTAATGTAAGTATTCTTGTGGCCTCCTCCAGTGAATTAACCATGTAAAGAACAGTGCTTGTGATTCTGCCTCAGTGAATGGAAAGTAGTTTAATTAAGTTAGTAAAAGCAGAGTGAGCCAGAGAGCTGTGTAAATCACTAAACTTGAAGCTTTATTCAGTCACCTCATTGGCACTTGAGATTTCAGGTCATTTCCAGGCTGTCATATTAGCTGACAGTTCAGAAACTTTGTTTTTAAATGAAAGCACAGATTCTCAGCAAGTTAAATTCTGTGCCTACTGCTGGAATTCTTCCTGACAATGCCATAACTCATATTTATTCCAGAAGGCAAGAATATTAACATTAATCTTCTCTAGTTCATATTGAAGTGGTTCTCCTTGATTCTGGCGCTGCCTTTTTCCCATGCACAGAGCCCATGGTGTGGCCCTGTTTCTTGATGCACCTTGATCTTCCTTCACCTTCTCAAATACCTAAGAAAGTACCTAATCAGCTGTTCAGCATTCCAGCCAATCGCTGAACATAAAAGGGGAAAAAAAAACTCTGAGAGCAAGACGCCTTTTTCAAAAGCTGCAAGTTCAGTCCTTGGCAGAAACAGGGCTATATTGGTGATTGTTGTAGGTGCTTGTTAAGGATCACTTGCGGTGTGAGAAAGGGTTGGTAATGCTACATTTCATTGCTTTTTCCTCCTTCCCCCTGACCTGTCATGTCAGTCAGGGAAGTAATTCATCTCTTTGACTTTGTAATTTGAGGATTTTAAGTGTATGTATAGAAGGTCCTGGGTTCCTGATTTTCAGAGTTGTGTTTTTCTTTCTCGTTAACTGTTTGTATGTGAGAATTACTGCTTTCTTTGCACCCAGTGCACAAATAAGTATTTTGTTTCAAAATCTTTTGCCTGCTGTAATTGCAGCATGAACTGTCAGATGGGGATTTGGATGTTGATTTTGTTGGGCAAGAGGAGGCAAATCATTTAGATGGCAGCAGTTCCTCCGTTAGTTCAACAGCCACCAGCAACACAGAGGAAAATGATATAGACGAAGAGACCATGTAAGTCATGGCAGGGATCTCCTTTCCCTGTGTCTGTTAACATGTAATCCCCTTTCACATCTCTGAGTAGGAAAAAAAAGTGCCACCCTTTCAACAATGTTCCAAAAATGTCACAGAGAAGGCTTAACTTTCATATAAGCCTAAAGCACAGATTTCCACACTCACTTGACTTGGCGATACTTCTGTGTGTAGGATTGGGCTGCAACTAATCCATATATTTAAGCTGTGTTGAGAGGTACTTTAATTGTAAATCTGACAATCAGATTGGATGGCTAGAGATATTTTATAGCTAAAAACATAGAATCATAAATTTAAAGGTGGACCTTCTAAATAAGGGATAGATAAATATTGTCCTCCAAATGTTGATGTTAACTCCCATCATACTTCTATTGCCGGTGCTGACTGGAGGGATGGAAGGCCAAGGGTGCCTACAAAGTTAGCTAAACTATTTTTTTCCCTCTGAGAATTTCTCCTTTTGTTTCTTTGTTTTCTTTATAATGTGCATTTTCTAAAAGGGGATCTTCAATCGTCTAGTCTAACCAACCTTACTTCTGATATAAAAATCCACCACTTTAGGAGCACCTTAAATAGATAGCTGTCTAGGTTCTGTATTTTGCCATTTCCCCTCTGAAATGATACAGTCCATTCCATTACCACAGGCCATTGTTGCTACCTTGTGTTGCAGTTGTAGATTGGCTGCCCCTAGGTGTGGATCCTATTGTAATGAAATTGTTAGCCTGTGCAATTCAAAATTCTTTAAACCCTATTTATAGAATGAATGTTTTCTGTGGAATCCTTGGAGTTCTCTGAGCTTAGTTGTTTTCTTGCAGACGTTTCGTTACCTGGTTAGATAACATCTTCAGTGCTAGAAGGGAGGGGGGTTTGCTCTCTGTTTATATACAGTAGCTTGCCCTGCCAGTATTGGTGTATATATTCTCTTTTATTGAATGTTTTCTCAAACCTGAAGCTTAGCAGAAATTTTGTGGTTTTACTTTGCCCTTAAGGTCTGGAGAGAATGATGTGGAATACACTCACAACATGGAGTTGGAAGAAGGAGACCTTGTGGAAGAAGCGACATCTGCCCCGGCAGGTGCCTCAGGTATAAATAGAGAAAATGCTTTTTATAACTTGCATTTCTGTATAAAGCATCCCTTCCTCCTTTCTCCACATCAGAAGCAACATGGAGTTGGGGATTCTGCAGGATTTTCTATTTTTGGAATTGCTGCATCACATATCATATGTAGATATTATTTAATGTAGGGCAGTCTTCCCATTAGCTTAGATTCAATGGAGGCTTGCAGCTGGGATTAAAAAATAAAAATAAAAAGCGTATCAGTGTAATACTAGCCATGAGATTACGTTTGGGGAAAGCCAACAGAGAAAGTTAGGTTTTGAGAGGCTTGGCATACTGCAGGGAAGAGACTACTCCTGGGCATTCATGTCTTTTTAACCTGGAAGCTTTAATCCCTTCTTTTAAAACTTCTGATGTTCTTCTGATGTACATTCCTGTATTGCAGGAGGGAATTGTTTAGGCAGTAGGTAGAGAAGAATTTAAATAAACGTATCTTTTGCATTGATTTGAATGTAATTCAGAAATAGATTCTTAATATTTGATGAGATTTTTTAACAGTTGCAAAAGGTTTGTTTTTAAACAAACACTGCAGGGCTAGTAAAATTCTACTGAAAATGTGGAAAGGTAGCAAAGATTTGTCACTTATCCTATGGGCAGTAGGGGACAGCATCTGTACTTTTGTATTACAGTCCTGTTTGTAACTGTCAAATTCCTATTGTGAATTAGATAGCAATCACTGGCATGTGGCAGGCAAATTATACCTCTGACAGAATTTCTTCTGAGCCTGGAAATTAATTCATATTTAGCTGATTAATACCACCTCCTTTACAACAGCAGAAATGGAGACATGATGTCTGAGAGCTAAGTGATTGAATGTATTCTTTGTTTTGTTTTGTTTTGTTTCTAAATCTTTGATGTTGGAGAAATCCTCAGTTAGTAGTATCTGTAACCCACTCATTTAAAGGAATCTCCCATTCTGTTCCTTTCTTGTTCTTAATCTCCTGTTTTTAGTGAGCTTTAAAATGGGGATTTGACTTCCCAGTTAAATTAATCCATCATTAAATTAATTCTGGACTATTTATCAAGAGGGATCATACTGGCCGACTTTTCCTTTTCCTTTTTCAAGAGAGCTCATAATAGGGAGAACAAGAGACCCAACTAACAATTTAAATAGTTTAATAGTTTAAATAAATAATAATAGTTTTATTGTTTTTAATCTTTTTAATGGTTTTTGCTGTTATTTTTTGGTTGATTTTGTATTGTTTTCTGGATTTTTAACTTGGTAAGTGACCCAGAGTCATCGCAGTGAGATGGGCAGCTATATAAATTAAATAAATAAATAAAAAAAAATATTTGCTTATTTTGATATACATCAAAACTGAGGCTGACAAATCTCAATGAATATAGGATAATGATAAAATCAAAATCAGTGATTAAAACCTGGGAGCACCAATTGCCCAACAGCCTGAACAGAGTCCTAATTCAATTATAGGTCAACATAAACAGGATTTAAGCCCATTTGTATGATGGATCAAAGTAGACATTAGTTGGAGCAAGGATCCACAGCTCTGTATCTGTTACCAAGAAGCCTGGCAGACTAATTGCTCTCACATATGGCTATACAAATAGGGGTTCAAATTTTATTGCCAGAAAGTAGATTCCTTGCTAAGAATGAATGTAATCCTGCATACCTAATATAGAAAACAAGATCCAGTGAATGTCTTCTTGAATAGTATTCCTATTAAGAAGGATGACATCCTTATGCACCAGGTCTATTCTCCCCCCCCCACCCCCGTCTTCATTATGAGCTTGGGGCTGTACAGTACAGCCAAGCAACCGCATTTGACAACAGGTAATACTCCCTCCCCCTACTTTCACCAATGCTCTATATCCAAGCAGTTTTTAAGTGACACAGCCCTGATCAATGTGGCCTTGTACTTGTAGATCGAGAAATAATTCATCTCTTCCTATTAGCGTTCCTATTTGGCATTTGCTAATCGTATCTTCATACAGTGGTTACTGAGGGAAGGGAGTAAAACAGAAGGGGTAATTACAAAGATGTCTAGTTTGCTATCTTTTTTATTAATGTTTTCTGTATGCCCCATCTCAACATACTCTAGCTAACGTCACTCTTATATTGGAGTATTTTTTTCTGGGTCCTCCTCATTCCTTCATATCAGCAGTTTCATTTCTCAACACTGTTTGATGTTTTGGTTTCAGCTACTCGCTGATTGGTATAGCTTTCTTTAAATCTTTGTTTTTAAAGATGATGTAATCTGACATGTGTCATCAGGGAAAAGGTTCGTGTCTTTTCATTCTTGTGATGGCATGTATCTCATATTTAGCTCCATTTGGAGATCCCTGTTTTGGATTGCTAGGAAATCAAATAATCCAATCATTTAATGTTTTTTAATTGTTGTGTATATAGATTCCACTTCCTTTTCTTAATTTTCTAAATGTATAAAGAAGCAGATATTATCTGTTCTGCATTTCTGTCTTCCCAAGTGCAAACATTTTGAGACCATATTAGGCTATTTTGTGGAGAAAGGATTTTTTTTTAAAAAATTTTGAAAGCTACTTCTTTTTTTTAACTTATGCAAAAGATTAGATTTTTGTGACCTTGCAGGTGTGTCTTGTTTCTCTGTGGATCTATTTTGGGTACAGGTTTGCTTGCATTCACAGTTGATTTCACCATTAGAAGCAATGCTAATAAGATTGCCCAACTGTAGCTGACCTCTAAGAATTACTGGGTGCCTAAAATCTTTGTAAACAACTAATCATTCCTCTTTTTCTTCCTCTTCCTCCTCCAGGTGGGAGCCATGCATATCGTCCAACAACCAGCCACATGTCAAGGCGAGGAGGAGGTGCACTAAGTTCTTCTGCCAGTAGCAGCTTACTTGATATAGACCCCTTGATATTAATACATTTGCTAGACCTGAAAGATAGAAATGGGATGGAAAACCTGTGGGGTCTACAGCCACGCCCACCTGCCTCACTTTTGCAGAATAGAGGTGAGTAGGTGAAATCCAAGGGACAGAAAGCTTTTTGAGGCTTCCATCTTTTCTGGGGAGATACTAAAAATTAGGTTCATTATTTTTCAGTTCAGTAATTCTCATGAAAGGAGCTGGTTTCTCTTAATGATTATTCTTAAGATATGATTCCTAACAGTATTTTTAGTCAATGGAAATAAAGTTCCCATTGAAATCAATATTATTTGTTTCCAATGTATTTAGGATTAGGACGCCAGTTGCTGCTATGATAAGTGTTGTTTAATGATCTCGCAGTAGAATTTATTGAATTACTCCTCTTCAATACCTTTTGCTCTGCATTGAATGGTTTTTAACATAACCTATTAGACTGGTTCACCCTGGACAACTAGTGGACCCAGTTGGGTTCCAGAAGGAACTTGGGTTATTTCCAAGGGCCTTCTGCGCAGTCTAACTGAAGCCCTGATGGCTGCCTGGAATGAGAGGGTGGCTGGGGCTTTGGATCGTATTACACTTGAGCAGCCTCTCTTCCCCCAGGGATCCCAGAACTCCACTTGGTTTACAGAGGAGGTCAAGGAGGTAAAGCTGGAGAAGACACTTAGAGTGCTGCTGGAGGGTGACAAGGAGTGAACCACGACACTTTAATAGCTAGAGCTGCTATTAGGGCCCTATCATGTGGTGATAAGGGCAGTGAAGTATTTTTCTACCCTTATTGCATCTGTAGATGGCCATCCAGCAGCCCTGTTTTGGGTGACCTGGTCCCTCCTTGGTGGAAGTGGTTTTGGGATTCACCTACAGGGTTGCTGTGAAGAACATGCAGGGCATCTGATGTATAAAGCTCTAAGTGGGACACTAGCCTTGATGCAGATCTTATGGAGGTCACTGGGACCAGGTCTGGCTAAGTTATCTGGAGAGAGTTTGATCCTGTTGGGTCTGAGGAAGTAGACAGAGTCCTCAGGGCTGTAGCTTGGCCACCTCTGTATTAGATCCATGTCCCTCCTGGCTGGTCAAGGCTGCCCGGGAAGGGATGTGTGGTTGGGTTCTGGTGCTGGTTAATTCTTCTTTGAGGGAGGGGATGGTTCCACTGTTTCTTAAGGAGGCGGTGGTTCGCCCCCTCCTCAAAAGGCCATCACTAGACCACACTATTCTGAACAATTTTAGTCCAGTATCCAACTTTCCCTTTTTAGGGAAGGTTTGTAGAGAACATGGTTGTGCTGCAGCTTCAGAGGACCCTGGAAGAAGCGGATTATCTGGGCCCCTTTCAGTCAGGGTTCAGACCTGAGTATGGGAGTGAGACAGCATTGATTGCACTCTTGGATGACTTCTATCAGGAGCAGGATGGGGGTAGTGCGTCCATCCTTGCTCTTCTTAACCTCTCATCGGCCTTTGATTCCATCAGTCATGGTATCCTTCTGAATCAGCTCCTGGAGTTGGGGGTTAGTGGCATGGAGTTTGTGGTGGTTCTCCTCCTTCCTCCAGGGTCAGTTCCAGTCAGTGTTGATTGGGGGAGAGGTCCAG